AACTGCAGCCAAGCAGAAGCGAAGTGCAGGTGCGCTGAGGCCAAGACCTGAAGGCACAAGGAACTATCTACAGAGTTTACAAAGTGGGTCTGAGGACACTTCAATCTTCACACAAACCCTAAACCCTAAACCCTGAGTTCTCAGGTGGCCTTCGAGCTCCTCTCGGGCAGCCGGCCCTTTGGCCAGACGCCCTTCGAGGTTCAGGCCGGGCTAAGGTAGACTAGGATGAACCCCAAGACCCTATTTTTAATCATTCAGTTATTAAGGCCCCTAGAGAAGTGCCTGGGGCTGTAGGTCGAGTTTAGGCTGTTTGGGGCCTGAGGTTTGTTTTGTTTGTCCGTTGGTTTTTGGGGTTCGGGTTCAGGGGGGGGGGCCTCGGTACACCTGATTCAAGCAAGCAGACCCTCAATCGTATTAGGATTCAGATCCCTGCAACTTCATGACCATTACTTGTTTGAGAGAATTGCGCTTATCTCTGGGTTGAGGGTGTTGTGGTTTTTTAGTTGATTTTTGCACTCCTCCTACCCGGTCTGACGTCCTGGGGGTTTCGGGCAGGATTGTGAGGTTCTTCGTCCCTGTTGGAGCAGTATACCTCTGAGGTTTAGGTTTTAGGGTTCTGAGAGGACAGAATGTGTCAAACGATGCTGAAGTGTAAGAAATGTGACAAGGGAGCCAGCTATAGCATGGTATCAGAATCTCAGAAGTTATGAGCATGAGCTGTAAGCCCTGCAATCCAACTTGGCGTAAGCGTGCAAGGTTTCCACCTGCTACGACCCTGACCCCGTGGATGTTTCAGCGGTGCGGGCGGCTGGCGCCAGCCAGGCCGTGCGGGGCTGATCTTTGTATGACTATTGCGTGATGCAGAATCGTAATAACAATAAGACTTGAGAGTCGTAATAACAATAAGACTTGTAATAGTAATATCTTTGTTGACAAAAACTAATATTGATAATCATGATAATCATGATAATCATGAGAATAATGATAATAATGAGAATAACGATAATAACGATAATAATGATAATAATGATAATAATGATAACAATGATAAAAATACTAATAAGTATTAATAATACTAATAAATAGTTATAATACTAATAAATAATCATAATACTAATACTAATACTAGTACTAGTCCTAGTACTATACTACTACTACTACCACCACTACTATTAAATGATAATGATAATGATAATGATAATAATACTAATAACGATAACAATAATAACAATATAATGATAATAAAAAAGTAGTAGTAGTAGTAGTAGTAGATGATGATGATGATGATGATGATGATTGGGATGCAGACAGAAGCTTGAAAACTGTAAACGGGGTTCCCCAGCCCTGATCCCCAGTTTAGAGGGTCGCGAGCCACAGGCAGGTTAGAGGGTCCGGAAATTGACATCTCCACAAGAGGAGCCGAAGCCCCAGATCCTATAAAACCTGCAACATCTCAGAAGCCTACGCCCTAAACCTAGAATCCTGAAGCTATAAACCCCAAACCATGCAGGGCCCGAAGACCGGAAGCCCTTGGCCGTCGAGGCTGCTTGCACCTTCGTCTCCTGGCTGCTGACCAAACAGGAGACCTTGCGGCCAAGCGCTGAGGAGGTCGCAGATTGGGGGCCCCTTGATTTTTTGATCGCGTTTTGATCGCTTTTTGTTGGAGTTCGTGGCGAAACTTCAATGGAAGGGGACGCAAAGAGTGTTTTGCTGCAGTTTCTGGAAGGTGGACAGCTACATGTAAGTTCAGTAGCTGTAAGAGCCAAGATGGTGTGATAGTGCTGCATGTTGCATTGGATTCTGACATAGGGGTCCTCCTCCAAAACTGGTCTGGGTTGAACATCACATGCCTTCTGGATCCCTTTAAGCAGAACCTCGATGCCCGATGCTGCTGATCACTCCCCGCAGTATCCAAGCCCTAAGCTGACCTCCCGAGTCTAACAAGCCCTCCAACAACTCTTAAGCCCCTTCGAATCCCGAACCCAGAGACCCACAAAAACCTTAAATTAAGGAGTATGCTTCAAATGGTATTAGGTGGGCCAATCCCTTCCTTAAAGGGTTTGTCTGATAAGCCCCTCTTACAGACTCTTCAACACCCTAAACCCTAAACCCTAAACCCCTGAACACTGAACCCTAAACCCCTAAACTCTAAACCCTAAACCTTCGCATCTCAAAAAGCCTCTCTTAGTGCAGGCGCACCGCGACATGAGCTGGCCGGACCTCGCCCAGCACGACGTGGCCTCCATGATCGGCTTCGGCTCAAAAAGTACCTTCTCCAAGGCGCAATGTCGGGGACAGGAAGCAGAGGAAAGATATGGCGGGTAGAAAGGAATTTAGAAACCTGCACAAAAATAGGTATGACGCAATCCCCGAGGGTTCAAAGAGATAACTTGATAGAACTATTCGGTAATAGCCCGCAAGACCTATTCTGACTGAAGAGGCCCCTGCTTTAGCCAAGTCGAGTCTGATAAAATGCAGTTGCGTATTAGTCTTCCGGGCACCGACGCCCAGCACGGGAAAAATCATTCTATACCAAACCGCACACCTTTCATGTTGAACCCTCTCAATTCTCAAAAGCATACGATAGGAGCCGCAGTCTTACCTTCCCAGAATAGATCGAACATGCTCTTGTCACAAACCCTATTCTGATGATGCAGGCCCTCGGTTTGGGTCTCTGGTCACGATTTCCCTCCCTTCCCAGGCGGTGTACCTCTGTGCAGCGAGCCAGTTGGACACCTCCAAGTTAGCTCCCTGGCTTTTCAGATTTTCGCGGCTTCTGTGAGACCTCGGGTTCACAGGGACTGCACCCGTCCCCCCGAGCCTTCTGCTCGAAACATCAAGCCCCAAATCCTCGCTGGACCCTAACCCCGGTAAATTTTAGACGCCCCCATCTCCCCATGGACCACAGGACCTTAAACCCTGAGCCCTCGCACCAACCTCTACTAACCCATCCTTCAAGAAACATGTTTCCAACCACAAACTCCGAGGATGACCTCACGGCCTTTTTTGAGGAGCTGGACGCTGACCGACACTCCGCAGATGCCTAATTCCCTTCGGTTTACCCCCCCAACTCCCAGACCTTGCAAAAACCTGACACCGGAGCCCGATAGGCCCAAACCCTGGGGCGTACATCCGTTGGGTTCTGTGTTCCCGTTGACGGTTTTGCTTGCGCGATGCCCCAAACCCCTAAACCCCTGAGAAAATCTCTAGGAATCCGTATCTGAGAAATATCAAGGGGCTCTTTTTGGGCCCGTTAGGCTCTCGGTTTCATCCCAGTGCCCAGCGGGAGGGTTTAGGCTTTCGGGTGGGCTGTAGTGAGCAACAGCTTGCACGTGTTCAAGCACCTAAGTGAGTTATGTCAAAGCCGAGCGGCTGGCTTTTTGGCTCCAACAACTAACAACTGAGCCCCTAAACCCTAAACCCTGAACCCTAAGCTCCAAATCCAAGCCGTACCCCAAGTATTCCAATAAGATCACTGATTTCCCAACCCATCTGGCAGTGTCAGGAAATGGTCACTTGTCCGTGATAGAGTTCAAAAATGGCCTGAGGCTCGCGTGTATCTCGCGTGTATTCCTGGGCTTTCACTAGAACTCAAGCCCCCCATGCAGGCCTGCATATGGCCGACCTTTGACATTGCCTCCACCTGCAATCGGACACTCCTTTTGCACTGTCCCACGTCTATTGTTGCCCTTGCCCCACACTTCCCGAACCAGGGCCGTCAGCCCCCTGGACTCCTAAACCCTGAGCCCTGAAATGCAAGACTCTGAACCGATGTTGTGAGCCTCTAGCCAGCGACGGCCCACCTGCAAGTCCTTCTGCTGGTAGCACAGTTGCACATGAGAAAGACCCGAAATATCAGAAGTTGCCACCATGTTCCGTCGGCTGACACTCAGAGGTGTCGCAAGTATGCTCGCAGGGCTTGAAAGACACTGGCTCAACCCTAGACCCCTAAGAGCCTAAGCCCCTAAGCCCCTAAGCCCCTAAACCCCGAAACCCCAAACCCTAAACCCCGAAACCCTAAACCCTAAACCCCGAAATCCCTAAACCTCGAAACCCTCAAAATCCTCGGAGGCAGGTCCTGGATCCGGATTCCATCGAAACCTTGGTGGACTCCTTGGACATGGACCACAGCGGCAACGCAGCTTCTCCGCAAGGAGTTGAGGCCTCTGGCGGGTTCGTTCAGCCTCAAAGCCTACAACTACGTCTTGATGATACAAACCCTCCTGCACTACCTCAAGGGCCTTAAACTATGGGAATTATGGTATATTATATTCCTTATTAAGGGTAATGCAGGATGTATACCATCAACCGTAGTAGGTTGTGACTTACGATTTGTAGGCACAAGCCTAAGGACTTATGGGCTGATAGGTTTATGGGTTTAGGCTTAATTTCTGCTCGGAGTGAAGGCTTGAGGTTTCGAGGGAAAGGAGATGCTTCTCGTGTTCCGCCGTAATGCAGCACGTTTCTCAAGGTTGATGTCGTTATTTGTTGCCTTTCTGGAAACCCTATACCCTCAAAAAAACCTTAAACCCTAAACCCCAAAAAAACCTTAAACCCTAAACCCCAAAGAAAACCTTAAACCCTGAACCCTAAACCCCTAAGCGCAACTCCAAGCTCAGCGCAGAGGTCGACTACTCGGAGTTCATCGCCGGCTGCCTCGACGCCCACATGGGCCTTATCGAGAGCGCCCTCTTCCACGCCTTTCACGTCTTCGACGTGCCCTTCGGCGCAAGAAAGGGCTGGCGCCCTCAACCCCAACCTCGAGGCTCTTTTCTCCAAAGGCCGAGGCACACTGAAGTTGAAGTGAATCCCGGGACTTCTAGACTCTATAAATCCCTCAAAAGGCCCTATCTCAAAGGCCGAAGGCACAAAAGCCGGAGTCTTTCAACTCAAGCGGGGTCTGTATGAAACCATGAAGCCCTAAAGCCCTAAAGCATGATGCCCTTACGCCTTACGGGAGCTTTATATTAACCAGTCTAGCAACATTCAGAATTACTCCAGGACCTTCAAGCCCCAAACCAGTGAGGAACAACGACGGTGTGATTTCTTTGAGTGAGCTGCGATCCATCCTCAACTCGAACGGCGAGGCGAGGTGGGGGATTGAGGGGCAATCGTCTGGGTTTGTTGCCTGGTTTGGTGAAGTTCGCATGTATGGGAATGTTGCTACTTCTGTTGTTTGAGCCAGTTACGAGTAAGGCGTCTGAGGGTGATTGAGCTCTCCGGGTGTTTCACTCCCGAATGCAGCTTCAGGGTGCATGAGGGTTTAGGGTTTTAGGGTTTAGAGGGAATGAGGGAGAGCAGGAAGCTTAGATGGCGCATCCGCGGACCAGCGATTTCAACCCCTCGATCCTCTCGGCCTAAAGCTTCATCGGCAAAAGGTGGTGTCCCAAATCCCGAAGCCTCTCGTTAAGCTTCGGAACCCTACACTGGACCTAAACCTGGTGAACCACATTAGACACAGACGGCTGCCGCCAGGCGCTCTCTGTCGTTCTGCCCGAGGGGAAGACCGTGGAGGGGTTCATGAAGGCAGGCGGCGTGAGGTTTAGGGTTTAGGGCTTGAGGGCCTGGCGAGTGCGGAGCTATGACTAGGTAGGCCTTTTTCGGATTCCCCCTAGTGGGCTCTAAAGGATCTTATTTTGGGACTGTTTTTCAACAGCTTCGGCTTCAAAGGGCCAACCTGGGTCGATGTTTCGAAATTTCGCTCCGAACGTGAACTTCCAGAATCCGGGCCCTAAACTTCAACCCTAAATAGCGCAAGCTTCCGAAAACCTTCAAAATCTGAAATGCAACACCAGTGAAACTGGGGACCAGGACATCGACACCTCCAAAGATGGCTTTATCAGCTTCGAGGACGGGCCCCGATGATTGCCTCTTTGCAGTGTCAGGGTTTAGGCGTTCTGGGTTTAGGGGTGAGGGTTTAGGCGTTTTGGGTCTAGGGTTGAGAGTCCCATGGGCTGAGATGCTGTCTCCAGAGCAGAACCGTGAAGCCACGTCCAAAGCCCACTCCGAAACACCACCTGACCTCCGGAGGACGAAGTCTCAACGACAGTGTCAGCCCTTCAATTTCGTGTCATCAGCGGCTTAGAACCTAAAAAGTCCCCTCCGCCCGGAGGAGCTCAAGAACTTCCTCAAGAAGGAGGTGCCGAGAGACTGCCCTTTCAGAGTTGAGGATGTGAACGTCACGTCTACGGCTTTTAGGCTCCTTTTGGGGCATGCAGGGACGTCGAGGATCTTGTTTTCTCTTCAGAATCCCTTTTGGAACGGGAGCGGACCAACCCAGAGACGCCAACAGCCCTTCATGAAGGAGAAGTCCTGAAAGTAATCGCAAGCATCCTTAGAAGCAGAGGTTCGATAAAGGGGCATTGAAGTCTCTGAGAAGCTTCCAGGCAGATGCGTCACCAACCGCCTGGCCCTCCAAGAAGGACCCCTTCCATTGCATGTGCAGCACGTGCAATCAGGGCTTGGTTCGATTAAGCCCGAGACCCTCGCAGCAGCATTTCTTGGAGCCTCTGAAAATGCATGGTGTTGATTTTGTCTCGAACCCGGTTCTCACTGCTTTCAATAGCATTTATGGTCCCCATCTAGCTATGAAGAATGTACCCCAGGCCCTCTTCAAATTGCTTAGAGGCCTCTCTGATGAATCCCTGTACACCCCGCTTCCCGGCCGTGCTTGGGGCTTCGGCGTGTTGCTTCGGCAGGGCCTCGAGGGTCCCACGCATGAGAAGCGCAGCCGGATGCCCTGATGATGCCTAGAATTAGGGGTTTGGATTCTTCAGGGGGTTCAAGATGTAGGGTGTACATCTGTAAGAGTCTGAAGCATGCAAAGGGAAGCAAGCACCTTGTGACCCTAGTCCAAGCTAGCACAATGCACCCGCACTCAAATAAGAGCACTGCTTTTGCTGAACTTCACTCACACGGCAACGCCCCTTTGCTGCACCAAATACAAAACTCTGAGCCCGGAAAGCAACACAGAAGCAAGAAAGCTATGGGAGGCCTCGGCTGAGCGTGGCATCCCCCCGACATCCATGTGAATGATCGATCTTGAGTGCACACCCCGGTCAGCTCGATACGTGCAGACAACGGTTGCGCACCGTAAACTATGGGAACGGCTTCCGTTCTGACTTCAGGCACAGGCTTAAACAGAGCTGTGCTGGTCCCTCGGGAGCCATGTATGGACCTAGCTATAGGCCACTCCGAGAGTCCTCCGAAGCACCGACCCAAAAAAGAAGGATGCCTCCCGCCGTTTGTCCTCGGCAGGCGCATGCAGTGTGTCATGTCTTTGGCTGGGTTGCTTCATTTCTGTCCCACGAGATAACTACAGCTTTTTGCAATTCCCTGACCTATCTCCTGCGGTCGTTGGTTAGGTTCTTCGACGTTGACCGGCTTGATTGGAAGACCGCAGTGCAGGGGAGCCATGCACTTGTTTCGCAAGCTTTGGGGCTCCACAAGGCCGTATGCTATACTCATGATATAGTGATATAGTATATTTTGCTATACTGTACTGTACTAAATACGATACTAAGCTATGATATACCATAATATACCATGACTACACCCGGTTTTGGTTTGCCACTCAGAAGCCCTGGGTTCTGAACTCATCACCTTCGACCCCTCGACAGCTTCGAGGCGTCCGGCGAGGCTCGTCGCTTTCCACGGCGCCTAGCGGAGGCGCCTACCCCGCCCGAAGCCCTGAACTGCCCTGAAGTTTCCATTTTGCCACGAGCTTCAAACTTTCTGGAGATATGCTGATATGTATACATGACACTGAACGGGGGTAGACGACACGAACCCGCACCGAAACCCTCAACCCGAAAACCCTTAAGCCAAGCTCCACACGATTCACTTCGGGAGCCCTTAAAGCAGGAGCCCCTTGCATCATCAAAGAGGCAGGCTGCCCTCCAAGAGCCAACACAGAAAAAGCGCCACTCTCAGAAGCAAAGAGCAGCCATAAGAAGATGAAACGCAGAATGAAGCTGGTGATCTCTTGAAGCGCAAAGTGAAGACCGAAACCCGAAGCCCTAAAGCCCGAATGCTGTAGGCCCGAAACAGAAGCCCTAAACAGAAACCTTAAAGGGAAACCCTAAGCTCCGAAATTATCCTTACCTTTAAACAGACGTGCGAAAGAGATCTAAAGGAGAAAGACGAGGCCCCATCGCCGAGCCTCCGAAGCTGCAGCCGCCCGCGGCGCCTCCGGCGCCGCCTTTGGAGCCCGAACTGCGCCTCTGCGATCTACGAGGTTTTGGAGTTTGTGGCATCCTTAAAATGGGCCTCTGTATATCGCGTACCCTAAGTAGGCACGTGTTCATGGTTTGGGGAGTTAGGGCTTAAAGATGTATCGTTTAGGCTCTGGCGTTCAGGGCTCGTTGCTCTTGTTAAGTATCGTTCGGCCTTGGGAGACCAAACGGGTGGTCGTTCCTGGTTCCTGAACGGACTACAGGTTGGGTTCGTGCTTTTCGTTCTGTTGGCGGTTTTTCCGTTTGTAGTCGTAGTCCCAGATTCTAGAACCCAGCCCGAACCGCAGCGACGTTGGAGCTGCAGGCAGGTGCTCGGATGAAAGACAGCCTGGGCATTTGCAGAGTCCCAAATTCTGAGTTTCTGAACAGGTATGCGCAGCTTCAGCGTTGCGTTGACCTGTCAAGCAGCAACGTCGGCTTGCTGAAGCAGCTAACGACGGCTTCCTGGTTGGAAGACAGTCTCTATCAAGTGCCCCATTCATGTCTACTACTCTCCATACAAGTATGTTGGAACGTGGTAAGGGTGAGGGCTTGCATCCTCGATTTGGCAGCCTTCTGGACATTCTTCGCAAGGCTACGCTTCTGAACTCTGGACTTCACCGTGAAGGTATAAAACCTGTCAGCTCGATGCGAGTGCTCACCATTCCTGTGAACGTGCTTCTGAAAGAAGAGTTTGCAGCCAACTGACTGTATAAAGTCTATAAAGTCAGACACGAAACTTTGAAGATTATACTGTATACTGGTTAAAATACTCCAAAAGACAAAGCCCTGTGAAGTTTCGATCAGGGGGAGCTGGACATGCAATTCTTGAGAAAAGCAAGGATGTCCTAAACCCTGAACCTTAAACCCTGCTCTGTGAGCTGCGCTTCGACTCCGTTTTGGGAGCGGCTGCGGGCACGGTCTCCAATGGCATTGCATCTTCTTAGCATCGCTCTCACAATCCACAAACCCAATCTGCTCCACCCTACAAAGCCGTAGACCCTAGACCAGCCCTAGCCCTAACCCTCAAGCCAAAGCTAACGCCCACCCAATCCTGCGGAATTCCCCCAAACTCATCAACAAAAGCGAGCCCCATGTGCTGCCAGAGGCTCTCGCCCGCCCGGTGGAGGCGGACGTCGCTCGCCAAAGCGCGAGCTCGGACAGTGAAGGCGGCTGAGGAAAGGATTCCTCTCTTGACTTCTGTTCTAGGTGGCACTTTGGGGAAACTTTAAGACTTTGAGATTTCCCTTAAGGTTCTTATAAAGGTACCTATTCATAAACACTTGTGAGGATCATCATCATTATTATTATCATAATAATGATTATCATCATGACCATCGTCACCGTCATCATCTCATTAACATCTTGTCACTGAAGATTTGCCTTTGATGACGCTATTAACTTCGTTCGTTCTTCATGCGAAGGTACGTGTCACCTTGTTGAATGGTGTTGTTACACACAATTGCACGCCACACGAGCGCATGAGGAACAGTTGTGCCATGTTTGTTCATGATTCGTTATCGGCTCCCGTCCAGCATGTGACACGACGTGCCACATTGTTACCAAGCCTGTTGTCCACAAGCGCGACTCCAATGCAAGCATCAAGCATGCATCCCGTCCCTCACTGAAAAATCCTTGCGCTTCGGGTCGCCATGCCAACCCCTTCCAACTCGTTCTCGGTCATGGAGAAGTCAAACCAGGAGCTTCCCGCTAACTTGATGAAGAGTGTGGCCATCGAGGTCCCGACAGGGAACCACAACCGGCCAGGGGTGGATCCCCGAGAACTCCTCGCGGAAATCCGACGCCTCAGCCGGCGCGTTGAAGCCCTCGAAGAGCAGCTGGCCAGCGAGCCTCCAGACGAGGAAGATGTCCTTGAGCTACTGGGTTCTGGAGGACCATACCGTCATTTTTATTTTTTGGGACCTGTTCCTTAACGGAAAGGTTATGAAATGCAAGTTTATGCTTTCTCTGCTTTGGTGACTTCAAAGCCTAGGTTAACGGACAGTGCTCATGAGACAAAGCCGGATTGTTCCCAAGCAGCGGTATCGCAGACGGAGCAGGCTTTCCAATCCAAGGAGATGCTTGCGGGCCCCGACCCGCCAGTGAAGAAGCCTAATAACCAAAAGAAGAAGAAAAAAACTACTCCTGTGCACTTCGAGCCAAGTGCATGGAACATTCCACTGGTGATTGGCTTGGCCGATGTGGGCTGGGTGGATGCCTTGGCAGCCTTGCTCCTCATCGCAGTGAACGTTGGCATGCAGATTGCATTTCAGCCATTCTCCTGTCCGAGCCTTTCATGGGAGAGACCTTCGACGAGAATGTGGACAGCGCCAGAATATGGCGAAGGAGACCCTTACATGATAGCATCACAACCCCCGTCCTTGGCCTAGGCCTGATCCGCCATCTGGTTCCTTTCATGGTTTCTTTTCAAGGTTCCTTTTGCTGCTCCTGCTAAGGGAGCTAGAGGAGATCTATGAAATCGTTTTACGAAGGATCTATGTGGGTTTAGGAATTGAGGCAGGGTTTGGGGTGTAGGGCCGTTGCACCAACCCTACGGGGCACACATGACAACTGAAGAACGGATTCACAGTTCCCAACCCTTACCCTTACACCCTAACCTGAGATTGGGGTGGACCCTAAACCCTAACCCCTAAACCCTAAACCCTGAGCCCGTCCAGCCAGGAGCGTGGCCCACGACGATGCCTACGTCGACCTGGCAGGCGAGTGTGTGCACCCCGCGGTAAACGATCCAAAATCCAGAAGAAGCCTTGGAAAAGGTCCTATCCCAACAGCCTTAGCCCAAGGAATGGTAGGATATTCGTTGTTGAGATTTGTTCCTGGATCCTTAAAAAGGCATGGGGACTGATGATACACAGAAACAGCTTTTAGGGGAGCAGGATGGACAGCTCAGGGTTTAGGGTTTAGGGTTCAGGGTTTAAGGGTTTAGGAGCCTCTGCAAAACAGGCTTTAGACAGCCGGGCAAGATATCGATTGCACCAGGCTATGCATGCAAGTCGTGTAGTATTATTGTTGTCAGTATTAGATCACTACTATGTTGGTATATTTTGGTATTGTGAATTTCATAGTCAACACTCTTGTTGTTACGATTACTACTCCTTTTGCTATTATTACTTGCATGTTCAGACTGTTCCATGGCCATATATATATATATGCATACATATATATATATATGTATGTATGTATACATATATATATGTATATATATATGTGTATATGTATGTATGTAAGTAAGTAAGTATGTATGTATGTATGTATGTATGTATGTATGTACTGTAGAGGAACGGTTTGTGC